CTTAAATAAAATTGAACACAATGACTATCTATTAAATGTTGATATACAAACACTTAAGCTGAAGCTGTTCCTTCTGACAATATGTTTTGTTTGGAAGTATCTATTAGTCTCTGTTCTATTATTTTAAAAGAAACATCAAATGGCAATGAAGTGTCAAACATGTAATTAAGTCCTGAGATATCAATAGTGCACTAGTACAATAGCTCTTCTGCTGTATATAAAGTTCATCTTCTTCAAATTTTGAACTGAACGCCACTTGTGTGTTGTACTCAGTATGAGACTGAAATTCTAGAAACGTTTCTTCTGTGTTTATGTTTTAGCGTAATAGCGACAGGTGACGTTATATGACGTCAGTGTCCTCAGATGATGGATCAAGCTAGGTCATTTTAAAGTGCTATCTCCCTGAAATATCATGACCTGGACACAGTAGCTTGACATTCCCCCGATAACAGTATTCTAACACGAAACTGGGTTAACCAGAGCTGGGACGCGGTGTTCCAAATTGAGTTCCAAAATTCCTCTCCATTGCTAAAAGAGCAATCTCTGCCGATTGTATTCCTGTCAATGCAATATCGTATTCGGAATATTCTCGGCCGATTCACTATAATTTTCAAAATCATTATACATTATAGACAGTCCGAAGTATTGAAGCAGCTTACAGTGACATCTGGTATTAGACATAGTATCAGAACGTCATCAAGCACGGAAAAGTGGCGTCTGGTACTCTCTCGGAAAAGTTGAGTTGGTCCATCAAAACCGTAGTATCTGAAATCTCAGACCGTGTCGTTATAGATAATAACTCACGACGATATACACTGCGTTTAGACAAGTTTAAATGAATTCGATTTTCATGAATTTTACCATGCAAATCACAATTAAAGTCTGACAATCAAATACATTAAACTTTAATTTTATGCATAAGTGCACATTCTGTTTGTGTCGCAGTCATTGATATGGATATGTATTTATTTTAACATAAATGTCCTTGTGACAAGTCATGTGTCAGTGTTTAATGTCTGACAATATACATTAACTTATGATGCGCCGGCACTTGATCTTACATTATCATGACGTCATTAATACAGTCCTTTGCAGGTGCTTTCAAACGTTTTTAGAGTTTGAGTTAAGTTATTTTAAAGATTAAGCTTGATTTCGTTGATTTTAGTTGTGTTTGCCTGAATGAGTCTGATTCGGAAACAATGATGTCAGGCTCATAATTTAATTTTCAATAACTGGTGATTAACTATAACATTCCGTCACTACATCAGTAAATGTTACAACGTTAGTAGCTTAAACTCAGAGGGTATTCGAACGTTAACGTCATTCCGTAGTCGGCGACAAGTTTTATTTAAAACAACGTTAATTTGTATATACACTCCTGGCTGACCGCTTTTTGTCACGACTTACATAAACATCAACACATTGTCTCCTGTTAAATAAGCTAACAGTAAGTCTACACGAAACTGAACATAAATTCTCTACTCTTTATGGCACAGATGTCAGTCAAAGATTCATGTCAGCAGCATTCCTCATTATGTAAATTAGCATTAGTCATTTTAAGACATTAAAAACTGACATGTGCATGAGGATCCTTCAGGTGTGGTACAGGTGTAATTTGTCATCCGTGTACAAGTCAAGTAATTAAATTCTGCTTCCACCTTTCCACCTGCTGCCAGCTTTTGTACAAACTTATCAAAAACCAACAGAAAACAGCAAGATATTTATCGAGTAGCTTGTTCTGGAGAGTGGAAAACGTTGCTCGAGCTATATAGCTAACGAGAACGCGTGCTGAGACAAAGGTAGAAATTGTGCAGTGATGCATGGTTAAAGAGTACACTTGTCGTAAATAGTGTATCTGCCCCGAAATGAAATCGTCTGTGATGGGTTTGATCAATAATTTGTTTTTCAATTGCGGTAAACTTACACTTTGACGTTCAATGAATTATCTAGCGATAATGTTTGGCGATACTATCGATTTTGTGCATCATAACAGCCGGTAATACGTGTAAACGGAGGAGCTGTGTTACAAACGGGATACATAATGTATGTAACCGACATATCAGCAGGCATAACAAATCGCTACTGTGACACAACGGTAGAAAATAAACACTGCAGAACAACAGGTGGATAGTGGAACAGAATCTGTAAGGCCCAATATGACTTCGTAAAAGTCGAAAGTGACATCACATGCAAGGACCTGAAAATTTGTTATGGATATAATTGGACCTGAATTGAGGTGTTCATAGCAATTTCATACGTTTAAGGGGTTTATATCAATCTTCGGTAAAAGTGACATCCCTAATGATGGTATATGCTGTTTAATTGTCATCCCCAATGACGGTATACTGTAAAAATGCAATCCCAAATGACGGTATACTGTAAAATTGCCATCCCCAATGATGGTATATGCTGTTTAATTGCCATCCCCAATGACGGTATACTGTAAAATTGCCATCCCCAATGATGATATACTGTTTAATTGCCATCCCCAGTGGTGGTATATGCTGTTTAATTGTCATCCCAAATGATGGTATACTGTAAAACTGTCATACCTAATGATGTTATGTAAAATAATAATATAATTCTCATGCCCCTGTGTATGACATTATAAAGGGACAATTACATTGTCAGGGTCCAACATGACGGTCGTTGCATAGAAGCAAAATGACAGCCAGTGTGAATGAACAGTGCTTATATCCAATACGAGATCGTTTAGGTCCATCGCGAGCACCAGTTCTATTTGTCCCGTTTTGTGAGTTTCCCTACATATTGTTTTTTTTCAGAATTGTGAAATTGATTCATTTCTTTATGTTAGTTTCGACCGTCATAAGACCGGGAGATATATAAAGATATTTCCAGCAGCTGTTTCTTAGTAACATACAGAAGTTTGACCAGTTGAACCCGACCATACACGACCGATCGCCGTTATATATGTACATTTTAGCTATATATGGTCTGTTTACCCATTAAACATACGTTCAAGATCTGAACATACAAATACAGTATTTCTATTATCCATTTGTGTGTCTTATCCCTAACCGCTGGATACCTATTGACCATGCTAATGTTTAGGTACATTATAATTCTGACTGTATTGACCACTAATGAAAATACTTACTTAGAGTCCCTACGCACTCTCTGTACCTATGATGACTCTGCAATGGACATAAGCATGTTTAATATCTACCCTTAACATACCTGTGTTGACCAATAAACTACCCATGTTGACCAAGAACCTACCTATGTTGACCAATAAACTACCTATGTTGACCAACAACCTACCCATGGTGACCAATAACCTACCCATGTTGACCAAGAACCTACCTATGTTGTCCAATAACCTACCCATGTTGCCCAATAAACTACCTATGTTGACCAACAACCTACCCATGTTGACCAATAAACTACCCATGTTGACCAACAACCTACCCATGTTGACCAATAACCTACCCACGTTGACCAAGAACGTACCCATGTTGACCAATAACCTACCCATGTTGACGAATAACCTACCCATGTTGACCAAGAACCTACCCATGTTGACCAATAACCCATGTTGACCAATAACCTACCCATGTTGACCAACAACCTACCCATGTTGACCAATAAACTACCCATGTTGACCAAGAACCTACCCATGTTGACCAAGAACCTACCTATGTTGACTAATAAACTACCTATGTTGACCAAGAACCTACCCATGTTGACCAATAACCCATGTTGACCAATAACCTACCCATGTTGACGAATAACCTACCCATGTTGACCAAGAACCTACCTATGTTGACCAATATCCTCCCCATGTTGACCAATAAACTACCTATGTTGACCAAGAACCTACCCATGTTGACCAATAAACTACCCATGTTGACCAAGAACCTACCTATGTTGTCCAATAACCTACCCATGTTGCCCAATAAACTACCTATGTTGACCAACAACCTACCCATGGTGACCAATAACCTACCCATGTTGACCAAGAACCTTCCTATGTTGACCAATATCCTACCCATGTTGACCAATAAACTACCTATGTTGACCAACAACCTACCCATGTTGACCAATAACCTACCCATGTTGACCAAGAACCTACCCATGTTGACCAATAACCTACCCATGTTGACCAATAGCCTACCCATGTTGACGAATAACCTACCCATGTTGACCAAGAACCTACCTATGTTGACCAATAACCTACCCATGTTGACCAATAAACTACCTATGTTGACCAACAACCTACCCATGTTGACCAATAACCTACCCATGTTGACCAAGAACCTACCCATGTTGACCAATAACCTACCCATGTTGACCAAGAACCTACCCATGTTGACCAATAACCTACCCATGTTGACCAAGAACCTACCTATGTTGACCAAGAACCGACCCATGTTGACCAATAACCTACCCATGTTGACCAATAACCTACCTATGTTGACCAATAACCTACCTATGTTGACCAATAACCTACCTATGTTGACCAAGAACCTACCCATGTTGACCAATAACCTACCCATGTTGACCAAGAACGTACCCATGTTGACCAATAACCTACCCATGTTGACCAAGAACCTACCTATGTTGACCAAGAACCGACCCATGTTGACCAATAATCTACCTATGTTGACCAATAACCTACCTATGTTGACCAATAACCTACCTATGTTGACCAAGAACCTACCCATGTTGACCAATAACCTACCCATGTTGACCAAGAACCTACCTATGTTGACCAAGAACCTACCCATGTTGACCAATAATCTACCTATGTTGACCAATAACCTACCTATGTTGACCAATAACCTACCTACGTTGACCAAGAACGTACCCATGTTGACCAATAACCTACCCATGTTGACCAAGAACCTACCTATATTGACCAAGAACCTACCCATGTTGACCAATAACCCATGTTGACCAATAACCTACCCATGTTGACCAATAACCTACCTATGTTGACCAATAACCTACCTATGTTGACCATTAATAACCCTACCTACCTTCTACAGACTGGAATATCTCGTCCGGATGTAAGATCCACCAATTCTCCCCTTTAGACACATAGCGAAGCCTTATACACAATGTTATCACAAATACGATCCAGACACTTTTTCGGGGAAATAAATCCGCCATATAATTCCTGTCATCCGCAGTACACCCTGATGTCCGCGATTTCGACAGTTTCTTGGACTTTTCACGTGAACTAGAACCATCATCCCGCTTTCGGGTATGTTTTTCTTGTGCATGTGATGAACGTCTAGTTACGCTCTTCTGCGTCTGTTTTTTCCCCATTATCTTGTTCCAACGTCCGCGGTGTTATCTGGCTGTGTCGGGATTTCGCCATCAAAGACGACTGATTCGCGAGGAAGGATGGTGTCGGTGTGATTCTAGCGTCTATAACAACGCTAACAAAATTGTTACGTTAATCAATAGTGATCAAGTGTCATTTTCCGTTTCACAAAATAAATTTACAAAAGTAGAACTGTTTGTCCACTTTAAAAGTCAATCACCAATGTTTGTCGAAAACCACAGCGTTAACTGACCGATGTCATTAACACTGACCACAGAAATTGCGCTTTCAACGCCAGTACGACCGCAACATCGTCGAGTTAAATCTTACACTGATGTTGCAATATGTGTACAAGTCCTTATAACATTTAATTACTAAACTCCTGCTGTGTGATACACCTGTGCACCGGAACTCCCGCCCTACCTAGGACGGGCGGTCGAGTAACGTTCTCTCATCCTCAGACTCCAGCTGGTGTGACAGGTATCTTTGTGGTGACACACGGCCACACTGTATATAGCCGTCACGCGTCAGTGCGCCATATATAGAGTAGCGCCTATAAATAGCGTACCGAGAAGTGGGACTAAGTGAGGTACGAAACTATGAGTGTTTAGGAGTTGTGAGCTATATAGTGGACAGAGATTTCAGGGCACTGAGTCTTCGGAGCTGTGATATATTGACTGAGAATTAGGCCATTAGGGGCTGCAAGATGAAGGCTATTCATAAGGGGATACGAGGTAGGGGCTGTGAGATATTTCACTGCGAGATAGGGGCTGATAATTAGGGCGTGTGAGTTAGGGGACTGGTTCATTGTTGTTAATTATTTTTCTTCATGTACATGCATGTTTATGTATGTATTTCACCGTGTTTTTCTATTCTGACTTCAAACTACTTTGTAGTTATACAAATGTGCAAATATTTTGTTTGGTTTTGTTTGTTTGTTAATTAATAAAAAAAAATCTTGCAAAACAAGTGACACTTAAATTACATTGTTTTTGTAACAAGTTGAATTCAAACCTTATTTTGAAAAATGTTGAGTAACCGAGTTATGCTGGTTGTACTAGTCCCGCCCAGCATGCTGCTCGTATTGAGTAATGCTTAAACACTCCAGGACATATTTACATTTTAATTGGCTTTTTATTTCCATTCAGGGAATAAAACCTATTTTACGACAAGTGACACAATACAACATGGGTGTGTAAAATATTTCCTACTGTGTGTTGTTATTAGGCGGCTCCCGTAAAATTGGCCAGATTTTAAATATTATATAACGGTCTTATCGCTACAGTAAAAGGGGCTGCCAGAATCTGTATGTCAATATCATCAGTAGGGCGATTATCATCAAAGCGTTTAACAGCGTCAAATTGTTTGCCGTTCTCAATGTTGACATTCCCGGCTTAGGTTTTCCGATCCTTGTGTCATATTTCACAGGAGATTCGGGGGTATACATTTTAACATATAGTTATTACTACACTGTATAACAAAAACATACATATATCGGATTTTTGTTCTTCACACTTGAAATTTACAGGGACAGGTTTGTTATACAGTGGTGCGGTACGGGTGCTTACGCCATTCTCAGCAGATGAGAGCTACCTCAATCACTGTAACTAATATAGCAATACTTGACCTATTTAGAAAAAGCTCAACTGAAATAGTACACGAAGGGATTTTTTTTTCATTCTATTCATACCATCCAAGTGAAGAATGCTAGCGATAAATTCCAATACGCCCATTGTAATTTCACGGAGATTGACACCCAGTTCCCGACACAATACTGACCACCGGTATTGAACACCACACATATATGATCCCATTTTTTAATTTCAGTTCAAAATAATGTTTATTTAAATAAGGGTGTCCGCGTTTGAAATACATTTCCTTTCAATCGTATTTGATGTGATATATGTCCACCTTGGATCACAGGAAAGGAAATTATTTCACAAATTAATCATCAAATCTTTCCTTTCTTTTTCTGAACACCAGGGAATTCCTCCGTGCCACATATATGAATATATGAAAGTTTAAATAAAAACCGTGTTTGATCTGAACAAAGTGACAATTAAGGTACCTCCTACCAATAGACCTAAGTAGTTGGTATGCGCAAGGTGTGGCATAAATGTAGGGGTCTTGAAAGCGATTTATTCCGTGTAGGTATTAGTGGCTCACCCACCTGTCATTGCGATGATGGTAATGAAGATGCATATCATTATTTTTTTTCTGTGCACAATTTTCAAATTCTCGAATAAGATTATTAGATGCTCTTTTAAACGTTGGTATTCAACCAGTCTCCCAACTGGATATCCTTATCAAACAAATGTCAACATCATACTTGCTGTACAATCATTTATAAAATCAGAACATTTCCCCTCCTGTCAATTCTTTCCCCTTTTCCCTCACTCCTTCCCTTTCTCCTTGCTGTTTGTGTATATGCTGAACATTTTTGTCATCACGTGTTATATCTTTAGTTACTGTGTGTTGTATTGTTGGGAGAGGGCCTAGTAAGTTGTTATATCTTTAGTTACTGCGTGTTGTATTGTCGGGAGAGGGCCTAGTAAGTTGTTGTATCTTTTGTGTTACGGTGTGTTGTATTGTCGGGAGAGGGCCTAGTATGTTGTTATATCTTTTGTGTTACGGTGTGTTGTATTGTCGGGAGAGGGCCTAGTATGTTGTTATATCTTTTGTGTTACGGTGTGTTGTATTGTCGGGGGAGGGCCTAGTAAGTTGTTATATCTTTTGTGTTACGGTGTGTTGTATTGTCGGGGGAGGGCCTAGTAAGTTGTTATATCTTTAGTTACTGTGTGGTGTATTGTCGGGAGAGGGCCTAGTTAGTTGTTATATCTTTAGTTAATGTGTGTTGTATTGTCGGGAGAGGGCCTAGTAAGTTGTTATATCTTTTGTGTTACGGTGTGTTGTATTGTCGGGAGAGGGCCTAGTAGGTTTTCAGAACTTGTTCCCAATCCCTTTGATAGTTTTCCATCAATAAAATGTGTTTGAATGAATGAGGTGTGGCATAACCGGTTCGGAATGCTGAAATGAGCGAGTAAAGTTTCAAGAGAGGACGAGGATGGGCAATGGAAACATGAAGAGGCAACACAGTATAATATGTGAAAATTCTCTGGCATACGTATACAACGAACTTTAAAACGGAGGGTTATTCTTATGTATCGAGAGAATTTGATGAGATTGTGCGATTTGTTCTTGCATTTCTTTTTGTTAAAACGCATGTGCAATGGGAGGTAACTCTTATTTATAACTACCTATCGCAATAGATTTCCGGCAACTTCATGTACATGTACAAAACCCTGTCTTCTTAGACTATAACGTTTCGACTCGGAGTTGATTTCCGATGATTGCCGGAAACCTCCCCGAGATGTTGCCGTTGATTAGTTCTTAAGTCTTAACCGCTTTTTCGAAATTCCTTTAAAGTAAGGTATTAGATACGATTGCGTCAGTTACAATCGGGTAGAAGAGTTCCACTATTTATTTTTAACTTGATGTATTCTCCCATAGAAACTGAAGATACTGAAAGGAGTTCTTCAGATCGCTGGCTTAGTATGACGTCGTCTTGGCATGGTTTTCATCTCTCAACGTTCATTGTTTATTCTCTCGGAATCATTGCGGCCAATAGGTAACTTGTACATTCATAATTCCTGCAGTTCGCAAGTTGATAAAGTCAGTGATTGTTGGTATAGTGCAGAGGCCCTGTGTTCGACTCCTTTTTTAACTAATATTATCTCGAACAGCTGATATAAACCTGCAAAATGCAACACAACAAGTGATATATATGGAAACTTCCGAAGAAAAATACTTAAGTTTGTATCGATATAACAATAGCGGCAATGGTGATAATACATTTTAACTTGATGGTATCATTAACGCGTAATAAATCGAAAAAAACAATTCACCATTCGGTCTACATTGTATGATGAGTTCGTTATGACGCACGAGGAATCCGGTTCTTTTGCAGGGCCATCCCAAAATTATTTTTTAACGACTGCCGAAAAATCAAGACGGCTCTTTCCTCTAATGAAGACTTTGTTTCTTTCTTTTTATTTTATTTTTGTATTATATTATATTTAATTGTTCAGTTATAGAATAAACACACATGTTGATCGTCTTTGAACCATTTATCAGTTTCAGACTATATATATATATATGTACGTCACAAAGGTATTCCGTTCTCCTGTATACTTGAAGTACTGGTCTATAATATAATGATACGGCACTGTAAAAGCTGTCGTACGCATGCTCAATTACATTGGTGAGTCCACACCAAACTATAGATGAGCAGCAGCGTCATACATTACTACAGTATACTTAAAAATAACAATAGCCTGATATGAGGCTGAATTAATTGAAGAATTTGTCATGACTAGTTACAAAAACCTTACAAATTCATTCAATTTCTCTTTCATATACATCGACTTTGTGCTATCCTTAAATAACAAGAAATGTATAGACCACGTCGCACACATCCTCCTGATATTTAAATCAAGAACAAAGCAGCTTTTTTGCTAGCTTAGCTTCTTTTCTCGGTCTTTACTTACAACATGACCAACAAGGATGCCTTTCTACTAGCTTTGCAATTAGTGTTACCATTTCGATTTCCAAATTGTGAACTTTCCCTTCCTTGAAAGTAACATCCCGGCTTCCCCATCATTTGGTGTTTATGTGTCGCTGTTGATTCAGTATTCACTATTAAGCTTGAAATGAACAATAGCGTACCTTATACTCAAAGTAACAATAGTCTACCTTATACTCAAAGTAACAATAGTCTACCTTATACTCAAAGTAACGATAGTGTACCTTATACTCAAAGTAACAATAGCCTACCTTATACTCACAGTAACAATAATCTACCTTATACTCAAAGTAACAATAGTCTACCTTATACTCAAAGTAACAATAGCCTACATTATACTCACAGTAACAATAGCGTACCTTATACTCAAAGTCACAATAGCCTACCTTATACTCAAGGTAACAATAGTCTACCTTATACTCACTCAAAAGTAACGATAGTGTGCCTTATACTCAAAGTAACAATAGACTACCTTATACTCAAAGTAACAATACTCTACATTATACTCAAGGTAACAATAGTCTACATTATAATCACAGTAACAATAGCCTATCTTATACTCAAAAGTAACAATAGTCTACCTTATACTCAAAGTAACAAAAGCCTACCTTATACTCACAGTATACCTTATACTCACAGTAACAATAAGTAACGATAGTGTGCCTTATACTCAAAGTAACAATAGACTACCTTATACTCAAAGTAACAATAGTCTACATTATACTCAAGGTAACAATAGTCTACATTATAATCACAGTAACAATAGCCTATCTTATACTCAAAAGTAACAATAGTCTACCTTATACTCACAGTAACAATAGCATACCTTATACTCAAAAGTAACAATAGCCTACCTTATACTCAAGGTAACAATAGTCTACATTATACTCACAGTAACAAT